ACAGAGCCGACTCATTTATTATAAACACATGAAATACAGTTGTTGTTGCTATCGATCCGGCTGCGTATGAGCTTTTGCCCTTTGGCCCAATGCCAATGCATACTAAAAATGTCTATAAAGAGATCATTAACACAATACAATTGGCAATGATCTTGCTAAACCTTTGCGGGCCAGTTAAACAGCCCCGCTATAAGGTGTAAATATGTTGTTTGTTTTAGTATCCAGAAGCCATGAGTTGTTAACCCTTAGGCTCGGTATTATGGATATCGCAACCTTTCGGCCTTGATTCCATTGAAAATACCGTAAATCTGGGAGAAATATGGCTTTTCTGCCTACCCCCGGGAGTGAACCCAAACCATAAGGAGTTCGTCACCCGCTCACCGCGCAATCCGGTTTAGCCAATTACGCTAGAGAGCCGGGCAAGGTGTAAATATAAAAGATGTAATTATGATGGACACAAACAAAACCTGATCACACATAGTGTGTGTTTTTGGGGGAATAAAAGAGTTAAGGTACTCGACAGATACAGGATAACTTGCAATCCACTGTTGTTGGATTGATAATTTCTTATTCAGTTTGCTCGATTTTTCGGTTTTTTACTCTCCTGGCTGCTTCTTTCTTAACTTTTTTTAGTGCACATAATGATGATAATACTTAAGATGTGATCATTATTATAAGAATTATAATTATGATGCTGTTCACAGTGTAATAATGGTGATGGATATTTGTAATGAGCCTATTACCAACAGCAAACAGTACCTTTGCCTTCAACATGCAAGCATTCCTGTTTGACGCTATGAAGAAACTGAGTTAGAACTATCCTTTTAAAGTGATTTAACCTCAGACCTGGTATGTGTGTCTGTTCACCTACATTTGAAAGTGATGTCTCAGTGACTGAACAAGACTGGATGCATCCCACTATATCTGAAAGTTTGCTAGATTGCTAGACTTTTTGTATCCGGTCTTATGCGGATTCTGTCAGGTGTAACATGTCAATTATTACCGGCACTGATAAGGAATCCGTTGTAGTGAAATAGTGATTATTGACCTTATTACTGGATTTTGTTAAGATCTGACCTCACAGCAGTCGGAAAATTCACATAAATGCCCATCCCCATATTCACTAGCCACCGCAGTTCCAGGACCTGTGGTGCCAGTAGAAGTCCGATTGTGTGTACATCTTACCTTTCTTCTTCTTCTTCTTTTTCTTCTTCTTCTTCTTTTCTTCTTCTTCTTCTTCTTCTTCTTCTTTTTCTTCTTCTTCTTCTTCTTCTTCTTCTTCTTCTTCTTCTTCTTCTTCTTCTTCTTCTTCTTCTTCTTCTTCTTCTTCTTCTTCTTCTTCTTCTTCTGCCTCTTCTTCTTTTTCTGCATTCACCCATAAAAGGGCGTTGGGTACATTGTGTTGTGGTTCAGAGCTAGGCTTGAAAATCTGCGTTTCCGCCCAGCACATCCCATTTCTGCAAACTTCTAATTATGAACATTTTACATTTTGCTTGTTATGAGAAAACGGATCTATCCGGCCAGCCCCTTTTCTACCACGAGACGACTAACCAGTCATGAAATTAAAAAGACATTTAGAAAGCAGTTGATTTGTGAAATACTATGTTACCAGATCACAGTTTTCAGCTAATGCCACTACAGTTGTCACTGCTGCTTAGCGGCTGAAAAATGTGAGACATGTGACTGGAGAGTTGTTTCTGTTATACGAAGCACTACAGTAACCTCCATTCGATTTATGTGTTCAATTTTAGTCTATTCACACAAACAGGCGGTCGTTGAGATGTTGATCCTACAGATCGGAGGAGAAAAAGTACCTACCGTAACACGTTACATAAGTAAGAACAATTTTTGGTGGCCTACAGGGACTTTTCAACGGTGCACCAATGGGCCACGGCGCACGGGCTGAACAACACTGCTTGAGTAGACTCCCCCAGCATTTCTCAACTTGCCACAATACTCTGTTCCAGGGCTATCCAACTGATGGCTTGCGGGCCAAATCTGGCACACCAAGGCCTAGCAAGTGGCCCGCGGAGCACTGCTAGTGATATTGCGTTCATGGTCTTTCTATGCTGGGGCTGGTTCTTCTGGCCCCCGACGATCCCTATTTTTGAACATTCTGGCCCCTGAGTCAACTTTGTTGGACAGCCCTGCTCTATTCTGTGATGCTTATTGTTGAAAGCGTCAGGCTTTATCCATTTATCTCAGGGGGGTGCTGGCTGCTGTAGCTGGTATCAGGGGCTTGTGCTTGAACCCACATTTGCCCGGTTCTCTAGCGTAGTTGTCTAAACCGGATTGCGTGGTGACCGGGTGACAAACTCCTTGTGGTCCGGGTTCACTCTCGGGGGTAGGCAGAAAAGCTGCATTTCTCCCAGATTTACGGTATTTACAATGGAATCAAGGCCGAAAGGTTGCGATATCCATAATACCGAGCCCAAGGGTTAACAGCTCATGGCTTCTGGATACTAACACAAACAAACAAACCCACATTTAGGTGGATTAAAAAAAAACATAATTGACCTTGGCTGCTGGGTTGACCATGGGTACAGGAGATGTCATGGGAAGTAAAGGCGGTGGGCTTGACATCGACCACATGACTCATCGAGTGCACATTGGTCTACAAGAAAGATCGGTTAACTCTTTCAGTCCCGACAGATAATGATGTGTACAGAGCTTTCATCACATGCCACAATGAATCCCAGTCATGGCGTACAGTCTTCTTTTATTGACCCCTGATAAAAAAAAAGCTGGACCACTATCGCTGTATATATATATATATATATATATATATATATATATATATATAAATATATTCAATGTTGTGTACTGATCTCCTAAGTGTTTTTATTGCCATTCCACTTCCTTGTTGCGCATCTGCTGCCTAATCTACTGGTACTGCTAGAGTTCAAGCCTGATTTGCCACTGACATGGAAAGAGCTCTTTCTCACTCTATCGCTCTCTCTCTCACTCACTCTCTCTCTCTATCTCTCTCTTTCTCACTCACACATGCAATCGTCAAGTGTGTGTGCAGGGCACACACACACACAATCATGTTTTATGTGATAAAAACCCTCTATAAAATGACAAAAAGCTGTCAGTAATCTTTCTCTTGTTGCCTTCCTCTATCTCTTTTTCCGCAGATCTTTCCAGTGGTCGCAACATATATTCCACTTTCCTTCTTCTCATAACATAAAATACACGATATATACACTACAATGAGATTTTGGCTTCAGATTCCTATTAATCTACAATATAACTTTGAATGACGCAACAAATTAGAAGGCACATTTTCTTATCTACCTTCAGTAATACTGACCTACTAACTCAAGGTCAGTTAGAGTAAACTGTCTTGGACAGTTATATTTGCAGGTAACTTTATTACTTCTGACGCCAAGGATCTGTGTTGACTGCCTTGGACAGGAAATCTTATCTTGCTCTGATAGAGGACGGGCGCTCTGCTTAGTTCAGTAATCTGGTGTATTCACGTTGCATTCCTTGCATTCATTCTAGATAAGATGTGTGTTGTCGTCAGTGAGTGTGAGAGTTGGAGATCAGCATTTGTCATGTGACAAAGACATGATTTGCTGTATACGGACTTTCTTGTAATATGTACTGAGAACACGTAGCTACAAATTAATAAGGCTATAATACTAATTGGTCTTGGAATGTGAGAACACAAATTTAGTAAATGTGTGAAGGCAACTGAGATGTAGTTCTTGGGAAGAAAGTTGCAAATACCTTGGACTGCAAGAATAACTAACAGTGATTGCTTGGAAAGGGCTAATGAAAGTAGAACATTATATACAACAGTGAGAAAGAGACAAAGTTCTTTGGTCATGTGATGAGAAAAGGAGCACTGGAAAATATCGTGACGACTGGAAATATCGCTGGTAGAAGAGGCAGAGGCAGACCAAGAGGATTGATGATGGATGGCTTAAGACAGTCGCATGGAGGAATATCATCAGTGGTATTGATCCAAAACACCAAAGACCGAGATCTGTAGATATGTATGAACACCTATGCTAGCTGGCAAGGCACTTGATGATGATATATACTCATTGCATCAACGAGTCAATCAGAGGCCGTTTTCACAATGAATTTTGGCTGCAGTGGATCTCCAACACACTCTGTCTCTTGTCTTGGTGGTACACCCACTCAGACTGCTGTTCGGCCATCTCTTGATGTTGTCCTCCCACTTATATCATTATCTACCTTTTGCTGTCTTGATATTGACCTTTCCCGCAATATTGTTTTTAAAAGAATGTTGCATTTTTTAAAGAGGCCAGTACATTTCACTTGTCTCCTTTTTATTTTTTTCAGTAACTCTTTTTTTCTTTTGCAGTCTCCCGAACCTCTCAGTTTGATTGTTTTTATGTTTCCATGAAATATGAACTATTCTTCTGTGTATCCACATTTCCAAAAAACTTGGTGTAATTTTCAAGTTACTGTTCATTGTCCGAGTTTCTGCACAGTAGAGTTGATTATATTTAACATTTGACTCCTCCTTCATTTCTTTTTTTTTTTTGCCCCCTCATCCTTTTGTTATTATTGTTTGTCTTCTTTTTCTTGATCATCTGCTCTCATCAACCATCATCCTCTCCTTTCCTACCTCCTCCTTCTCCTGCACTTACACCTCATGCCCCACCTACATCTACTCCTTTCTTCTGTTCCCTTTTCTGCTGCTGCTGTTTCTTCTCATTCTCCTCCTTCCCCTCTCCACTTACATTCTCTGTACCTCTAATCATTTTTTTTATGGCTGTCTCTCTGAGGCACTTGGTCAAGTTATCTGTCCTTTCCCATTGTCCCATTTCTCTCCTCTCCCTTCACTGTTCTCTTTGTCACAGCATATTCCAGTCTTTCCATTCTCATTACATGTTTAGATAAACAAAGAACCAAAAAAACAAAATTATTTACTATTAAAGAAAATCATCAAGAATTTATTAAAATTTTAGCAGTAAAGACAGAATAATCCATTCAAGGCTCTGCTTTGGTGTTCTTCACAGATGTCGAACGTCGGGACAACAGAGGGAGCCACAGCGATGATGGGTGGATACGGAGATCCTGCCCCTACACACCTGGAAGAAGACAGACTAGTACTGTAACTTATGTTACTGAGTGAAATTTATCTTTCTTACTATAAATTTAAGAGCTATTCAGCTTTAAGTTTAGAAAAAAATTGTTCATAATTTTTGGTTTAACATACGCAACATTTGTATTTTATGTAGACAAATAGCCAAGGTTTTGTGAGTCTTGAAACTGTTTAACATTAGGTTGACAGTTGCTAATGAAATGATCATCAGTTTAGACTATATTGCCACCCTGTTAGGCAGTTTCTGGTAGCACACATTGTTTGGTGGCTATACTAAAGACTCGGAATTCACCAAAAACAAATGGTCTGGCTGGCTCTGCACCACTTGGTGGTGAATTGATGTATGACAAGTTAGATATTGTGAGGGCCCTTTGGAAATGGGTAAACAGTACAGAGGTGCAAATAGATTATAATGGTCTCAGAAGAATGGCTCTGCGAGGAGTTACCAGGGGATCTGGCTAACTCTCAACACTTAGGGGAAGGATGCGACAGATTTACAATCAGATGGTTACTGGTGCCATCGAAATTTGAACTCTTCGCTTGCTGCTGTGGATGGGGACTGAGTACTTATGGGAGTGTCCCGAGTGCTGTGATGTTGATTCTTAATTCATCATTCAACATTCAAAAGCAAATGGGTCTTTCTGACACTGCCACATGTGGCTGTGTGTGCACCAAAGCCAACTCCAGAGCAAGTCCTAATAAAATTGCCTAGAACATGTGGGTCAGAGAATGAGAAAAAAGAGAGAGAGAGAGAGAGAGAGAGAAATGTGGCCCACAATAACAGCACTGCAAGACAAACAATAGGGCACCAGTGAATTCTTGATGGATACACAGCAAACATTTATCAATGAAGTAGTTTGATAATTAATAACAGTGACACACACATTATATGATAATTTTTGCTAATGTAGCACACATTGTTAAATAATTCACAATACTATGGTATATATTGTGAGATAATTTAAAGCATAATAAACAAGCCAAACAATTTATTAAGGCCTGGGAGATGTGGGCGTCCATGCCTTAGGCGTTGCGAATCCGACTCGTAATTCCCCCGTACAGCAGTCAAAACCCACTGCTGGCTGCGTGGATTTTTATCAAGGTAGGGGGCGTCACTGGTCGATCCAGTCTAAAATGGGAACCAGGATAGCTTGTCCTGGGGAAGTAAAACATGGCCGACGTAATGTTGCCCACATTACTCACCTAGGTGCCAATTGGTATGTACAAATATGGGTGCTCTTCTCATTGCCCAGTGTGCCTAAAGGCTTAAAAGGGATCTTTACTTACTTTATTGAAAGGTAAGGTTTTACAGAAGGATCCTTAGAATTCCTTGGACAGTCAAAAAGATCATCCAAGATATTTTGAAAGAGACAGGTGCTCGAAGAAAACTTATCACAAACATCAGAAAGAGACAGTCCTAATTTGTTTGGGTGAATTTAGACAAGAGAAGATTTTTGACAAATTTGTTTCATAGCATGGAGGGGTGTTAGCACACAAGATGATACACACAGTCGCAGATCGTGATTGTCCACGCCAGTTAGCATGGCACTTGATGATGATGATGATGATGATGGTACACATTGTCAGATAATTTAGAGTACTATGTAGTACGCATTGTTAGATAATTTAAAGTACCGTGGTAAACATTGTTAGATAATTTAGTGTACAGTGGGACAATTATTATAATTAGGAGTACCATGGTTCGCATTGTTAGATAATTTAGAGTACCATGGTACACACTGTGAGATAATTTAGAGTACTGTGTGGTACACATTGTTAGATAATTTAGAGTACATGGTACACATTGTTAGATAATTTAGAGTACATGGTACACACTGTGAGATAATTTAGAGTACCATGGTACACATTGTTAGATAATTTAGAGTACCATGGTACACATTGTTAGATAATTTAGAGTACTGTGGTACACATAGTTAGATAATTTAGAGTACTGTGGTACACATTGTTAGATAATTTAGCGTACCATGGTACACATTGTTAGATAATTTAGAGTACATGGTACACATTGTTAGATAATTTAGAGTACATGGTACACACTGTGAGATAATTTAGAGTACTGTGGTACACATTGTAAGATAATTTAGAGTACATGGTACACATTGTTAGATAATTTAGAGTACATGGTACACATTGTTAGATAATTTAGAGTACATAGTACACATTGTTAGATAATTTAGAGTACATGGTACACATTGTTAGATAATTTAGAGTACTGTGGTACACATTGTTAGATAATTTAGAGTACCATGGTACACATTGTTAGATAATTTAGAGTACTGTGGTACACATTGTTAGATAATTTAGATTACTGTGGTACACATTGTTAGATAATTTAGAGTACTGTGGTACACATTGTTAGATAATTTAGAGTACTGTGGTACACATTGTTAGATAATTTAGAGTACTGTGGTACACATTGTTAGATAATTTAGAGTACCATGGTACACATTGTTAGATAATATAGAGTACTGTGGTACACATGGTTAGATAATTTGGAGTACTGTGGTACACATTGTTAGATAATTTCGAGTACTGTGGTACATAATGTTAGATAATTTAGAGTACCATGGTAAACACTGTAAGATAGTTTGGAGTACTATGCTACACATTGTTAGATAATTTAGAGTACCAAGTTTGGGACAGCCCATTAGAAATGTGTACTTTTGAAACCAGATCATTTGTCAGACTGCTTAGATTTGTTGATCTTGTTAATAAGAATAAAATGTCAAGTATTTCTAAAAAAAATAGGTATGAGCTTTATTACAGTGATTAACACACTGTTTGAAAAGCCTTACACCATTGCTACTTAAATATGTCTGTTATAATTATTACTTTCTGTCTGACTGTGTAAACTTTGCCATTTGACACCAGTATAATGTTTCCTGACACCAGTATAATGTTTCAATGTATACATTTATATTATTGAAGTAAAGGATGCTGAAGAATTGGTTCTAGGCATTGAAAAGGACTATTCTTGTTTGTTCATAGGCATTTAGGCTCATACTACTCTTTGGTCTGTTGTTGTGAAGTTATCTGTACATTTTTCATTAGCTTTTTCTGAGCTGCCTATAAGGTTTCAGTTTATCTGGCTGTGCTAGAAAAAAATATTTTCAAGTCTGGAAGAGCGAGAAAGAAAAATGGAAGTAGCAATAAAACGTCAAGACCACTGCGTGGTATGGTGTTTAGATAACCTTAAGTGTTGGTTATTCTTACAACACTCTGTATATGAAGGCTACTGATATACATAGAAGGAAAAGATATGGAGACATAGAACAGATTAACAAGAAGAATATGACATTTCTTAAAATAACAAGTATGTAATCTTCGTAGGAGCAGTAGTTGTAGCTGTGGTTTCTGCTTCATCGCAAACAGATCACCAATAGTTGCTCCATTCTTGGACCAGTGGAAATCACACAAAATTCCCCTCACTGTCCCATTAGAAACTAGTGAATAAACAGTTAGTCCCAGCAAAATCAGAAACATGCACATGCAGTAAATGCATAATATCCTATCAGAGATGCCAACACCAACAGACGCCACCAGAATTGCAATTTGTTGTTAACAGAAGTAAGTAGTCGCATGCGATGAGCTGGCTGTATACACGCAGAATTATTGCAAATGTGTTTCATCAGCACAAACACAAACTGGCTACCAGTCATTCTCAGAATATCATGACACCATTACCATGGGCACACAAAAAGGCATTCTACACAAAATACATGACTCACATTGCTGCACGATGGACTTAGTAGGCTAAGTATTAGTTAGTTAGTTAGTTAGTTAGTTAGTCAGTTAGTCAGTTAGTCAGTTAGTTAGTCAGTTAGTTAGTTAGTTAGTCAGTCAGTTAGTTAGTTAGTTAGTTAGTTAGTTAGTTAGTTAGTTAGTTAGTCAAGTTAGTTAGTTAGTTGAGTTCACAGCAGTTAGGGCATTAGTTAGTGAGTTAGTTAGTTTAGTTAGAAGGCTAGCTAATTGCTAGCTGTTAGTTAGTTAGTTAGTTAGTTAGTTATTAGTAAATTATTGTTGGTTAGTTAACTTACATTAAACAGTTAGTTAGTTACCATATTGGACTGGAAGTTAGTTAGTTATCTTTAAGTTAGTAGTCCCAGTTGTTAGTTATGTTAGTACATGTTGTTAGTTAACACTGTACTTTAGATAGTTAGTGCACTATGAGAATTGCAGTCTAGTTAGTTAGATTATCTTCTTTAGTTAGTTGCGTTCACCAGTTAGTAAGTTCTGTTAGTTAGTTAGGTTGTTAGTCCAGTTAGGACGGCAGTTTGTTTAGTTAGTTAGAGCTGCATGTTATCCGTTTTACAGTTCTAGTTATTTTAGGTCAAAAATTGCATCACAGCACTTGCCTCATTACAGGCCGAAGTGCTCCATGTTTGAAGAAAGCTCCCAAGTATTGAAACATGTTGGGTACCCCCTTATGATCTATTCTGCATTTCCCCATCATTGCCAGGAAGCAACTAGGATTAATTTTACATCTAAACAGACTGAATCCTGCTTATCTGTATTTCTTTACCTGGAAGCCACCAAGTTTTATTTGTGAAAGGTCCCATTGTATGTTCTACATGTTGTTGATGACACTGTACTTCTAAGATACTTGACCTGCACTATGAGAATTGCAGTCTGGGTTTTTAGACATCTTCTTCTTCTTCTTCTTCTTTGCAAAAGCACCAGCTGATATAACTCATGGCGGCATTTTTCTGTTGACTCATTTTACTTCTGGACTTCAGTCTTGTTCCAGAACCTGAGTGATATGCATGTGCATCCGTTTTTACAGATCTGACTCATTTTACTGCAGACTGCTGTTTTTGCAAAGCCCTCAGGATATAATTGCATTGTGCCTATTCACAGCATAGCTACAGAATTTCACCTCTCAGCTGACATATCTGACTTCATCAAGCATTTGTTTACTGGGTTAACTTCCCACATTACTAAGCTATTTTCTGTTTAACGGGATTTATTGCTTTATGAACTTGAGAATTTAAT